TTTTTCTACATTAAATACTAAAGACAAGAAAACTGTCGCTTACTTGGAGAAGAATTTCCATGGGCTTAAATATTCTTCCGGCGACGTTAAATATTCCAAGTTAAATGAAATAATTAAAAATAAGGTGATATATGCGGCTGACTATGTCTACGTTCGTGGAGAACAGAAAGCAAACTTTTTACTCAAGAAATGTCACATTTTTGGTGTTTTTCCCAACATTATTGATGTTTGCAAGTATGATGGTACACCGTGTGCTACTGGAAACTTTGTTGCTGATTCCAATCCATGCCACACCAACGGACAATTTTCCTGTACCCAGAGAAATGTTGAACGTCTACGCCACTGGTTTTCAAATATCATATTACCTATGTAGTTTTTTCTATTTTCAATAAAATATAAACGTATTATTGTAGTTTTATTGAAAATACCTCTGGTTTGCGAAATAATTGTCAGAATGTCTATACTATTTTCATTTTGAACGGTATCATCCTGTATAATAATAACAGTACATCGTATACAGGTTATGAGACATTCTGACCGACCGACCGACCGACCAGAGGAGCCCACCACGCTATTTAGGTCACGCCTTGCTATATACGATTTAACGATATACCGTCGGTCCATCGATCCGCTATTTTTCGATGCACCCCTGTATACACGTTCTGAATGCCCACGCCAACACCAGACAGGTGCGACATCGGCGCCATCTATGCGCGAGATGCCCAACCCATCAATGGCAGCTATCCAATGACACATAGATTCCGTTTGGTTTGTACAGCGCCAAACAAATCGGCGCCATCTATGCGCGAGATGCCCAACCCATCAATGACAGGTGTCCAATGACACATAGATTCCGTTAGGTTTGACAGCGCCATCTAGCGGTGGAATCCCCAACTCATGAATTTCGATTACAGATTCCGTCCAACAACCTGTCAATGGCGCGCGACGCCAGCGCCTCTGGTGGCGGATTTTGGAAGTTTTGAGACCGAATCCCCATAAGACATCTACTAACATAAAAACACAGCTCCAGGAATAGATAGTGTCACTTATAACATGCTAGAGAATCTACCTCTGAACGCTAAAATATATTTGCTAAATATATATAATAAATGGTGGCATTGTGGTGGTATTCCTAACGAACTCAAAGAAATTATAATTACCTTAATTTTAAAACCTCATAAAGACCCAAATTTTCCCTCATCATACAGACCCATCTCATTAATGTCATGTATTATAAAATCATACGAAAGAATGCTCAAGGCCAGATTAGAATGGTATCTTGAATATAATAATAAACTGCCCATCACACAATATGGAGCGAGACGAGGAGTCGGAACACTTGAAGCAGTAGCACAATTAGTCACAGACGTACAGTGTGCGTTCTCGAAAAATGCATATGTCGCATGTCTTTTCATTGACATAAAAAGTGCTTATGAAACAGTTGATTTGAACATACTTGTTGAAAAAATTGTATCTCTTAATATTAATCCATTGATTGCCCAAAACATTGTGGAGTTGTTCAGGAATCGGAAAATATTCATTAGAGACCCGAATAATATGTTGCATGGCCCACGGGAAATTAATAATGGTCTTCCTCAAGGGGCGGTTCTTAGTCCTATCCTATTCAACACATATACCTATGACGTGCACAATATTTTTAATCCAGATATAAAGTGCATCCAATATGTTGACGACTTCTGCTTCTATACGATACAAAACAACTATAGCCAGTGCATCAAAGAGCTTAAACACATCCTCTATTGCCTTAAAATGTGGTTTAGTGATCACTCTATGACAATATCCCCAGAAAAATCCGCAGTCATGTTTTTTACAAGACATAGACTGCAAACCCCTCCAAATATAATGTTATGTGGAACTGATATACCGATAAAGAAGTCATACAAATATCTAGGTGTAGTCCTAGATAACAGACTTCTATGGAACGAACATATCAGCCACATCCAAAGAAAGTGCGAACGGGGAATTAACCTATTGAAGTGTACCACTAAAACCAAGTGGGGCGCAGATGCACAAACTTCGCTCCTATTCTACAAGGCATATATACGCTCAATCATTGACTATGGTTCTGTGTTATATAGTTCAGCAGCAAACTCACATTTGAAAAAAATTGATAGGATACAATATTGTGCCGTGAGAATATGTATAGGTGCTATGAAATCATCTCCCACAGATGCAATTTTGGCAGAAGCACAGGAACCACCCCTGAGACTGAGAAGACTGCATCTATCTTATAAGAAAATAATTTCGTTAAAATATTTTCATTCCAACCATTTTTTAAATAAAAACATGTTTATTTTATTCATAGAAAATTTAACTAATAAATTTTGGTCAAAAAAGAATGACCCCCCATTTGTTGAGGCATACTCCGCATTTAATGAAATGATAAGTAAAATAACTTCTCACAATAGAGAACCTATTTTCGAACAAAATTTTCAAGCAATGGTGTTCAAACCAACTGTGCTCTTTCCTGCCTACTCCGACAACCCCTCATCTAATCGAGCCTCACTTCTTTCAATTTTAGATCAATATGGCAGCTATCTAAAAATATACACTGATGGTTCAAAAACGAAAAACGGAACAGGATGTGCAGTTCATATCCAGAACAATGTAAATCTACAGTATAGACTGAACGATTTATGCTCCGTATTCACTGCAGAGGTTTACGCTATAGAAGCTGCGTTGCAATGGTTGATGGAACAACCGCAACAGCATAATGCTTTAATAATGTCTGACTCTTCCTCAGCTCTAAGGGCAGTGAGCAATTTATCATTTCGTAGCTTTTCAAAATCAATCAGCATCTGTAAAATCAAAAAGTTCCTCTACGACTTAAACACAAGAGGTCAGATAATTCATTTTGTATGGGTAAAGGGTCATGCTGGGATAACCGGAAACATGGCTGTGGATATCTTAGCAAAGCAGGCAACCAATCTAACAAATTTTACCAATAACAAACTCGAATACTATGATGTAGTCAACGCTGGAAAGAAGGAAATAAGAAAAAAATGGGAAGTGCACTGGAATCATTTTGCTGAATTATCTAATAACCATTATTCATTCATCCATCCTACATTGCCTAAAAAAATACCACATATTTTTGAGTATAATGTAAATAGACATTATTCAGTCACCATCACTCGTTTGAAGCTAAACCATGGAAGATTTCCTGCTCATCTCAATAGAATAGGCATTCTGGATACTTGTGTATGCGATTGCGATAGTGCATCAATTGCAGATCTAAATCATATTATTTTTGCTTGCGGAAAATACAATCAAGAACGCATAGTTCTTATTGATATACTGAAATCCAAATATCAACTCCCCACCAATATAAGCTCCCTTTTAAGCATAGGTGACAAGCAAATCCTAGATTGCTTGGTAAACTTCTTCCAAAGAATCAAAATGAACGTTTAGCTCACAATTAAACTTTAGATCAATAGTAACACACATCTGTGGCAAATGGATAACTTCCAATGCCAAACCGATCGACAAAAAAAAAAAAATCTATGAAACATTAATCTTGTATTGCCTTTTCCATCACTAATACCTTCTAATGTTTCGAAGCCCTTTTTGTGTGTTTGTAATCGTAAACACGGTTTCTTTATTCTTATATTACAAAAATAAATTTTTTGTAATTGGTTTCATCGTCTAATAAGCTGATAAAGTCAAAATTAAAACTGATCATTCTGAAAATAATGACATGCCAAAGCTGTGTGCTTCTTTTCATTTCTGAAGTTATGAGATCTGTTTTTTGGATGTTATATGACATCATGAAAAACTATTGTCATTTATTTCCGTGTGTCTGTCTGTCTATCTGTCCGCCTATAACTTGAGAAGTACCTCTCGGATTTTAATGAAATTTTTACACAGTGTTACCACTATGCCAGTGACGAAAAAGCTTTGTAGTTTTTAAAGAGTGGTCTAGTCGGCTTCTGCTGATATCAACAGCCGTAGCCGACGTGGCGGTGTTCGTATGTGACCAACATGACTGGTGGTCTGGTTCGGGCGTTCTGACGAGGTGATGCTTTCAGATATTGCGGAGAGGCGACGCAACGTTTTTAGATGAACGGTGCTACGGGTTGGGCAAGGGAAGGATGTTATTAAGTAGTTCTACGGACGTGTTTTACAGACTTGATCCGTATAATTTCTCTGTTATACATGCTTATAATTAACTTTCTTCTTTGACATGCAGCTTTTGTCCGCCTAACATAACACATTCGACCACCGACAGATGTTCCGTGCTTTTTTGGAATCTCATCAGCATGGTTTAGGCTTGGTCTATGCATAGCAACTATCCTCTATCCATGATATAATGTCTATGGCGCTGATTTATTTTGATAGGGTCTAACTTGTGCTGAATATAAGCCTTTATGAACTGATGAAGGCGATGCGTGGGAAATGTTGAGTCAACTATTTTTGTTTAAGTGTATGTGACATAGGGGCATGCACTACATCCCCTGTAACGTGTTAACACTCATTTGGTAAGGTGTCTCTTCAATTTTTTTTACATACAATTTATTGTTTTTCAACCCGTTTTTACTTTATTGTTTAGGATCAATTATCTTACAGTTATCTAACTTGATTCGCCGTGTTTTTGCTTGTTTGTGCATACTGCTGTTTGTGTATACCGTTCTTTTTAACATCTTTGTATATTTTGATCTATTTTATATACATATAAGTTTATTTGGTATTTTTGTATTTTGTCGCAATGTATTTTTCACATTTTGTAGCCCTGAAGAAGTCATCAAATGATTGTCAAAAAGTCGGCTTTATGAGTAAGGAGCACCATTGATCACCATCAGCCCAGAATCCAAAGATTAACACAAGACATATTTGTCATTAGAAAAAGGCCACCTTGGTGACCGAAACGTTGTACAATAAACATAAATTAAAAGATCTATGAGGTTTGATTCGGTCAGACAGTGGAGTCCTACACACAGATTTTTATTAGACGTATTTGTATTACAGTGTTTCTTAAAAAGAATACTATCAATCATATGCCTTTATTTTTGTAGCCGCCATTGAGATCTGATTCGAGTTCTGGCGGCACTTCAAGCTCTACGACCACTCCAAATGCTTCGTCAAGCAACGCGAGCAGCAGTAGCAGTACCGCCCCTTCATCTCCGGCTACGCCGCCACCTAGAGGTCAACAAGCTCCCCCACCCCCTCAGCAGTTGCCACCAAAAATTATTGCTCCGTAAGTTAAATCAATTTTATATTATAAATACTTCTTCAAAGAGGACCGCACAAAAAAGCAACAAAATGATCTACAATGGAATTGGTTGAAATTGTTTGTACACTATGGTTTCCTGATAAAGGATCTTCATGGGTACAATTTTTCTAATAGACAATTTAAAGATATTGAGAATCAAAAGTGAGGAATATAAGTAACCAGTAATATATATTTTCCTCACAATCCCCTGCACATATGTTTTAGCAGGGATGCATTTTCTCACATTGGTACACTACAGATGTACCCCTTAGCTACTTTTTGGTACCACCTGTGGCAATGCCATCTGGAGAAAGCGAGTTCTGCTAAGCCACCATGAGCGATAATTTATAAACCATCATTTCATACATTTATTGCTTCTAATTAATTCTGAATTTGGAACTGAAGTTTTTTTCCGTTATTCTGAAATATGTGAAACAAGGGCAGTGTTTTATGAGCTCTGATTTTGAGAATCTGAAAAGTGGCAAAAAACTTCTGAGCAATATTCTGGGATAATAAGTAAAAAATGCTATTAAAATTGAATTCGTTTGTATTAAACTATACGCAATTCCAATCAATTCATCAAATGAAGTACGTATGTCTTATGAACGCGTTTATAAAAATTGACATAAGCATAAATATGTGAATCTTGTAACTCTGTGCTTATGACTGAAACGTCATCTTACCAAGTCTATGTGTCAAAACTTTCACCTAAGCTACTACCTTACAACTAACTGACAATATACCTTACTTGACAACTTGACAACACATGACATAACTCAAACTGTGACTATACAGTTTGTTACAATATTATTATCTTATTTATTGTTCAAAACTGCTCAATAAATCATCTAGATCAAGTTGTTTTTCTTTATTTTTTATATATTAGGCACAAAAAAAAGGAAGGTTATATTCCTTAAATTTATTTTTAGAATGCTCTTTCAGCCTTCAAAAAATACAACTTTTTATGACTATGATTAAGACAGTTGTATAAACATGCTCCGAAATTGTGACTATGCTCTTCCGTATGTTTATCACGATTAAAAGGTTGTATAAACCCGCCATATTATTTAACAAGTAATATATTGGAACCTCTTTTAAATTTGTTTACATTGACGGATGGAAGAAAAAGATAGTCTGAGATAGGTCCTTTCAATAATTGTCGACACCGTCATAAATACTGTAACGAGTAACAGTTCTGACTGACCCGTCAGTTACTGAATGCTATGCTAACAAATCAAATGTAAGACCAGTTTCGTTTCATGCACATTTATTAGCAAATAGTAATGATAGAGTATTATCTGAATTATGATTCGCACTAATTAATTTCATATTTTTTTCTCGTAACTTTCAGCAAACCTGACATTCTGTTAAACTCTGCAAAATCGACCACGCCTCAGAAATCTTCCTCTCACTCGCATGTTAGTGGGAACAGATCTCCCGATGTCCAAGCATTTCCTCTTCATCAAGATAAAGAGAAAAGACACAGCTTCTCCAGTATGACTGTACCACAACAAGCAACTCCAAATCATAATAGACATTCGGCTGAGATACTAGCTTGTGAAGCTCAGGTAAGAAAAAATATAACTTACATAATACTTTTTTTCCAAATAATTGTAATGATTTTCAAAAAGATACTGTAATTTTGAATAGGATAAACTTCAGGAACATGATACAAACTATGCTAAATTCTGTTTATGTATTTATTTACAAACCGACAAAGCCCAATTGTATGAAGTTGTCAAAATAATGGTATTGAACAATAACATCTTGAAAAGAGTGGAAATACAGCAACATACATATGCCAAACAATAAATTATAAAACGCACCGTCACAAGGAGGCCTTAATTGCATGGATAGGAGTATTAAATAAATTGGGATGAATATTGTTGGCAGTGGGGGTAATCTGGAAAGCTAGAGCTTACAGTCTATATTGCTACAGAAAGCCACCTTCAACCTTATACTTATGCGCAATAAAATTATTAATAAAAAATAGGAAAAATATGCGGAAAATTTAAAATATCGCAACGCTATTGGCGAGACGTCACGATATCGGCAAGTGAGCAGTCCCAACGATTACTGTTTGACGCGGAATCCGCCACTGATAACTACAATGGGTTACGCCCCTTTTCAACATAGATGATCGTTTAAGAACATTGTATTGGGTTTTTGTGACATTACGTAGTTTTTTCTACAATATGTTAACTTAGCACTAGCTGATGGACACCATGTGAATTCGTTTTGTAGTTGTACGTGTTGCCTAAACGTCATGAGGCTTCAGTTATCAAAGTTTGGTTCTGATGTGATGTAAAATCTGCTTCAGAGATCGCATTACTGGAGGTCTAAGCTGTAAGTTGTATACTACAACTAGAAGAAAACGGCAATACATAGGTGCATAGTGAGGATTTGTGTGCTAATAATATGTGTGGATGATAATTCCATTGGATTCTCGTCTCAAATACACTTACTGGAGATTCAACGCTAGAAATTAGTTGCGCATCCACTTTTTCTTATCCATCTGGAAATTACATATGCAACGTGGAATGACTGTTTGCACCCTAAAAACTATCTAGTCTGCAAGATGACATTTTATAGGCTTTTTTTGACGTTTTATAGGTTTTTTCATAATACTCGTGGTGCTACCACAAGCAGGAGAATTTTGCCGCCAAGACGTCAGAAAAATAAAAGAAAAATATAACTTTTCAAAACATGACAGCAAATTGACTAAACAGAATAAAGTGACAAATTATGAGTTGTGACGTCACTGCGAAGCGCGAAAAATGCAGCGTTCAATCAACGTCATTGGGATTGCACTTTTAAATATTTAATTAAAGAAATGCAGACATTTCTATCTATGAAATATGTGTTTACGATATTATAATAACGACACAGAATACAAAAAAACATGCATATTCTCTGTTGTAAGTTTTAAGTTCAAAGGAATTACTCACACATTACTTATGGCAAATGGCTCCGGGTCAAATTGGCAGACATTTTAGTGTGTTGTTCTCCATACAAATCAGATCAAATCTCCATTGCACTATGATCCTAAATCAACAGTTTTCAAGTTACCTACATGATGTTCAAGCTTACTACATTCGAAAAGATGTCAGATTACGACAGACATCTACATGACTTCCGGTTTCTTTGGCCATTGATTAGAATCTTAGTAGCTCTTGTTTTACTGATTCGACCCATATACTGGATGTATGCCAATTTTCAGTCACATTTTTTTAACATTCTCTATACCATCTCAGTCAAAAGTCTCTTTGGTCAAAAAATTAGAATAACAATGGGTTCCGAGTTACAGCGTGCGCAAGTAATTGAAATATTGATGGAATACAGTTTCCCGTTAAGCTGGCTGAAATTTTAGTATGTTATTCATTATACCACTTTAATCAAAAGTCTTCATGAGCAGAAGACTCTGATATTAATTCTTTTTGAGTTACAGGGTATGCAAGTGTAGCAAATCCAAAGAAATGATTCCGCGAAAAACGCCAGCGTAACTTTATGGTTTCTGGACGTTGATCAGAAAAGCAATAAATAGCTACTTTATGGAACCCTCAGATACCTAGCAAGCCTCGCTTTAATCTACCGTCTTTTTACCATCTACTTAATTATTTTATAGGTATCCGGTCCAAACCTACAGGTTCCAGAAAGGTCACGAAGAAGCGGAAATTCACCTGCTTTTGAATTACAACTTCCGGCTACCTATGTGGCTCTGTATGCATATAAACCTCAGAAAACTGATGAATTGGAATTGAAAAAGGGGAATATCTACATGGTTACTGAAAGGTGAGATTACACCTTGTCAGAACTTATTTCCTCTTGGTAACCGAAAATATTGAAATCATTTTTTCAACAGGTGCCAAGATGGCTGGTTCAAAGGTACCTCGAACCGCACCCAAAAAAGTGGTGTGTTCCCGGGCAACTATGTGGTGCCAGCGCGTGGTGCTCATGTACCATCAGGTTCGACCGGTTCATCGGTTACATGCCCTGCTAGACCAGCCAAAGGTAGGCACTTTTGTCTTCATTTCATGAAACATACCGCCGCTCTCCGTATTTTATTTATTGCCTGAACATGATCAACAATGTTATTTTATACCATAATATGTAAAAAAGCACATAGAAAATGAAAGGCATCCTGGTTGAAATTATCATATCTGATGTGCCTTTCTCACTTCGGAGTGGATTAAATAATTTGATGCTTTTGTTTTTTATTATTTACTTGGAATTAAATCAACATTTGTATCACCTTTAAATATCAATATTAGGATTAAAGAAAATGTTGAAATGTATCAATACACTCTACACGTAGGCCAGGCTAATTTTCGCAAGCTAAACAGTGCCATATTGAGTCAGTACCTTTTTTGTTTCTCCAGCACTGACGGCATTGTTTTTTATTTATTCTTCTATCTGATCATTTTCCAGGGATTTCATTGATCATATAAAACGTTTTTTTTAGTGAAGACTCTTCGTTACTGAAATAACTTTTGGTTTTTCGGACATTCATACGTTTATAATTGACAAGCGATAATCATATAATCGCATTTTCGGCTGACCTGAAAACTTGTTATACTCGTATATATACTAAATGAATTTATCTATAATAATTGAAATTAATCTTCTAATGACGACTCCACCTCTTCAGAGTGGTCAAGGTGAAAGTCGTCTTCGGAATCATCACTAAAAAGTAGCTCGACCTTATCTTCGCTGTAGAGTTCATTATAAACAACACTTACACCGTTTTGGGCCGCGAAGGGCCTGCTTCACTGTCCATTTTAATATCCATTGATAAAAAATAAACACGGAAACAAAACCGCAATATGCTACGTAATTTTTAGAACGTCAGGTGCTATGCTTATACGATTCCTTCATTATTAGCGGCGCAGCGCTGGCTGTAAGAGTTTAGGTAGTCACCACTCCGCTCGGAGGTGAGGTCGGCCTCCCGTAGCGGTACCCCTTTCGACAGTCAAAGGGTTAGTCAATATCAATGAATATGTATTTAGGGGAATAGCAAAATATACGCGAGTAGCGAAAACTGGAATAGTCTTTATGAGTCTATCCTATTTTAAATTTCTCTCTTTTAGGGAGTGCCAGTCTGACTGCCCCTGAGCTACCACCTAGAGCTATTAGTCCAGCCCCTTCCAGCATTTCATCTAGTTGGCATGGTCACGAAAGCAGCAGACAAGAGATTGGTAGAAGCAGCAGCCAAGCTGCAGTGGGAACTAGCAGCAAAGATAAGGTCTGTATTTTCAGCACAGAGGTAAACATTTAATGATTTTTTTCTACGTAATTTATCGAGTATCATATTAATAACGTTATGTTTCAGTCTAAAGAGCGAAAGGATAAGAGTTCAGTAAGCCTAATGCGTCGCCTAACTAGTATCAAGCGGTCTAAGTCACCTCCACCGTCTTCTTATTCTATGGACAATCCGGTTTTTGAAGATTCTCAAGTTAGTGCAAAATCATCCCCTGCACATCCTATACACGTTAGGTAAGTTTAGTTCATTTATTATTGTTCTATTGCCTTTTGCACTGTTTGTGTATGCTTTCGTTTATGTGTTTCTTGCATATGTGTTTGTGATTTATTTTTTTATGTACTTGTAATTGAGTATTTTCAATTTGTTCATACTGTTGCTGGCGTATTTTTTAGTATCATTACTGATATCATATTTCTAGGTAAAATTCGTTACGCATCATTCAATATTTCATTAAAGTAGCATCCAGATAATTAAGTATTTAACTAACATCATTTTTCAAAGTTACACGCATTGGTCTATAGTTCTATAGTATCGACCCTACATAGCTCAATGTTTACGAATTTTCTATAAGGACAATAAAAAGACTGTCCTTTTAGAATAAGAAATCAGCTTCGTACTAATGCTAGGTTTATTTATTAAGGATTAACACAAACACGCCACTAAACTGCATCCAATTTGGAGCATCTTCACTGTATATCCTATAATACCAAAAGATGGAGTTAATTACCTAAATATTATATGTGAGTTTATCATTTCAACTTTAAATCACAGAATTGCAAAGATGTTGGCTTAAACATTAAAAAATAAAAACTGTATTATTTTATCAATAGTAAGGTGTGCTAAATGAACTATTAATATAGCAACATATACAGGATGGCCGATATGTAACTGACTGGTTTGTATCTTGAAAATTTGTGAAATGAAATAAAATACCTCCATTTTTTCCATCGTAATATTTTATTGAAACTTAGAAATTACGTATGAAAAATAATATCAGACAAATGTCTGCCTTTAGAAGCAGCGCAAACCTGAGCCCTCTTGATTACATTTTCCATTACTTTTTGGTAGGTTTCGGGAGGAATATTTTCAATGCTTCTGTAATATTGTTCTTCAGCTGCTCTACAGTATTTGGTTTGTTGGAATAAACCCAATTTTTCAAAAATCCCCATAATAAAATCAGGAGTCGTTAAATCGGGTGACTTATGGCCAGTTGACATCACCAAATCGAGAAATTAAACGCCCCGGAAACATTGTTCGTAAAAGATTCATTGTTTTCCTAGCTGCGTGACAAGTTGCTCCGTCCTGCTAGAACCACATGTTTTGCAGGTTAAATTGTTGGATTTGAGGAGCCAGAAAGTTTTGCACCATATCACGGTAGCGCTCGCCAGTGACAGTAAGAGAATTACCTGCAGCGTCTTCAAAAAAGTAAGGTCCAATGACACCTCCATACCAAGCACCGCACCAAACTGTGACTCGAGGAGGATGTAGTGGTCGTTGATTGATGATACTAGGGCTCTCTAATGCCCAGATACGACAATTCTGCTTATTAACAAATCCGTTCATATCGAAGTGGGCTTCATCGCTCATTATCAGTTGTCGGTAAAAATCGTTATTTTTTGTATTAAGTTGCAAAATTGCATGACTGTATTGATGGTGACTTTCATGGTTACTACGCTGTAGTTCTTGGGTTAACTGAATTTTGTATGGCTGGAAATGCAAGTCTTTTTTCAAATAGTGCATAATGACGTGCGACGAATAATCAGTTCTTGAGAACGATGTCTGGTAGACGTCTCAGGTTGCTCCACTGCACTTTCAAGAATTCTAGAGATATTTTTCGGAGTACAAACAGTCCATAAGTCTTTAACTTCACCTGTTCAAATTTTCTCACCAACTGATGAATGGTGTTGACACTGGACACATTATTGTGACCGAAATCGACTCATTATTTAAGGTAAACGTTTTAACATACGGACGCGTTTTGGGATCGTGTAGCGCTCCATGATGAATTGGAGACATGTGTGCGCCACCTACTGAAATTCGTGTTTCAAAAATGGCGTGCAATTTAAATCAGGCAGTTATATATTGGTCACCTTGTACAAGTTGTGTTATACAGCTATTCGCATAGGAAGCCAAATTGGCAGCCCTGTCTCTCACCGTCCAGCGCCAGGGATATTACTTCAGCAAAAAATGTTTTTATTAACGGATAAATGCTATTCATCGTCTCTGAATTGTGTTGACTCTAATTTATACTTCATTTTATATTTTCTGTATGACATTATCAACTCTCTTGAAGCATATTGCATGTCATATCTCACTGACTGTTTTCCCTTTTTGTGTGTTTGCTCCTCACCCTGCTGTCGTGTGGATATAGATCGGGATCATGTCCAAGTCAGCTGCTGCAATTGCAACCTAACGATCACCGGTTGTTCGGATCGACGTCACAGCGGCACAAACACAAAGAACGACCTTCGATTCTAACTCATACTGCTGCCGTTGCATCTGCCGCATCAAGGTGTGTGTTGTCTTTTTAACCGCTTTGCTAACAATAATGTACGAGATCTGTAAATAAAGTGATGACACTGATTTTTTAAAAATTTTTTTATTCAAATATAATTGCAATTTTTTTAGCTTTCGGTTAAGTCGTTTGATTGTTTTCGACTGTCCCAAAATAAGTACCCTTGAGGTGATTTTTCAACTTCGGAAAGCGAAGAAAGTAACAAAGAGTCAGGCGAATAGGGAGGCGAAGGAGCCACAGGAATGTTTTTACTGACATTAGCAGCATTATGATGTGACACCCAGTTGTTCTTAATCTGATGAACGGTGGTGTGAGAGAATCCTGGATTCTGTCGTTATTTTCATCGGTCCTTGAAGTTGAATGCCTTCCGCTTCAATCGACTCTCTCCCTTCTGAAAATGCCTTAAACCGCCCAAAACCCTGGGCTCTTGACAAAATACTGTCTCAATAAGTCTGCTTAGCAAGAGTTTCCGTTGCATTGTCCCCAAGTCTCCAAATTGATGTCACTCATTTTTAGAACACAATAAAAAACTGTTTTACAAAAAAAAAATCGTTACGGACAACCAAATGACTCGAGCGACTTCAAACTTGCACTGAAGTCTGACGCCTCCAGTGTTGCCAGCTCGACCGCTACGTTACCAGTCTCTTCACCTAATTTACAGACCTCGTATGCCTGTTTGATGGGGTATTCTGTTCCAGGGCAAAATATCATTTTTAATAGCTGAGATAGATGTTTACATCCGTTTTTTTTTCGATTGCGATAAGACAACTTATTTAAATGCTTTGCTTTGCCTATACCGTTAGAACGTGATCACACATTTCATGTCAAATGTCAACGTCAGCAAATAAAGATTATTTGCCCCACTCTGACCGAAGTTTACAGTCCAAGGCAGTGTAAGTGTAACATTTTAAGGATATGATGTGGAAAAATATTAAGTCAGGCTAAAAACACAGTTTTGATGAGTGAAAAAATGGAAACGCTTAAAATTTCTTCTTATAGTGTCCAAATACATTTTTGGAAAATACCCCATTCAGACGATGGTGCTATTTTCTTGTTTGTTTGAATCTTAACTCTGATTGGAAAAGCATTTAACCAACGATATGCACGATATATTTATAATACCTCATGTGCATGCAAATTTAGTTTTTCATTAGTGACACTAAAATCAATTTCAGTTTTTTCATTGTGAGTCAGATATAGCGGATATCAAGAGTAGAGCCTTGGAGATTAAACTGCCTTAGTAAAATGTTGCTCGTTTTTAGCCACCTCTGTTAATTTTTTTTGGATACACTGAAAGGTAATGAACCGATTCAAGTTGTGGCGTCACCTAGAACAAGACTGGTTCAATTAAAATGACGATATTTTTGGTCTACATTAAGTGCACGTTTTCATTTAAGTCACAAAGTGGTATCGAGCTTTACATGAGAATGTACAGTGTTGTCGAAATAAATGTACATATATAAAGTAAAAATGCGTAGATCCATTTCTGAGCTTAATAAAAATTTTGAAATATGGTACAGGGGGCATTTCAGGTGATGAGGTTTTAAAATTCTTTCATATTGGGCCTGTTTGAACATCTAGTAGGTGTGGACAGGAAAAACGATTTTTGTTTCGTGGCACGTTCATTTGCAAAGTTAGAGGCTTGGAAAGAGAAGCCTTATTGAAATTGGGATATATATATATATATATATATATATATAATTTTGCATGTCACTGTCACATTAATAGAGCTTAAAAGTACTAATATAGTTGCGCATTAATCCGACATCTCGCAAACCAGTCGACATAAGCAAGCGCCTAACGTTCATAATCACTGCGACATGTATGTACATGAAAACACACTATAGGTTATATGTTGAAGTGAAAAAACATAAATTGGTAGAAGTTACCCAAATTATGGCTTGGAGCGATTAATTCCGGTTTTGCGCCGTATTTCAAATTTCAATACGAGTATTTAAGAAAATCGTAAAAAAATAAACTATAATTTCATGTTAAAATATATTTAAACTGATTATTAAACCTGAAAAGTACTCAAAGTGTAGCTTATTGATATAATAATGTCTTGCAACCCAATCGACCAAAATAAGCGCCGCCACTTTAGGCTATATTTTGGAGTACAAAAAATCGAGAATAAAAATATGCGAAGGTGCACAAATTTTGGTTTGAAATGTTTACTTCCAGTTTAGTACCTCATGTATTTTTATTCTAAATTTGTTTTTTTATCAAACAGTACTGAAAGCTCCTATATAAAACTCCGTATTTCATATTACTGATACTGATACTTTTTAATTCGAAAAAACTCTTGGAAAAAATGCACGTGTTACGAAAAAAAATCTTGATTTATCTTTCACACCTATTAGATATTCAAACAGGTCCAATATGAACGAATTTTAAACCCTCACTTATTTTTTGCTGTCCGCTTTACGTGAAAGGACTAATTAGATTGATTTTCTCAAAACGTAATGTAGTGAATAAACTAAAACATTTAGTGGTACTTGGTTGAAAGTATAGCTCGTTTGTGGGGTTATGTTTGGTTTACTTATTTATTAGCTAATGCCAAAGGTCACTTGCATCGATCGTTTATTGTTTATTAGGTTTAAAAGTGCTTATTTACAGCCAAATTGATATATTGATTTTATGCATCCTTAACCCTTCTATTTATTTGACGAAAATAAGTTTACTGCCTATCTAATAGTAGATAACCTTTGCTGTAGGACACCTGACCATCCTGGAAGCTCAAGCTCGAGTCCAGACGTACATCGTCACCGTAAATCGAATTCCCTTGATGCAGGTAATAAAAACTCCAAAACTGGAGTACAAACCGTTCGCGAGAGATTCAGATGTATTGCACCCTATCCACCTAATAGCGAGTATGAGCTGGAACTTCAGGTGAACGATATTATCTATGTACATAAGAAAAGAGAAGACGGATGGTATAAGGGGACGCAACAGCGTACTGGGAAGACTGGTTTATTTCCAGCCAGTTTTGTAGAAAGTTATTGATTTATTAGCAACTATTAGGATAAGTGCAAATATTCTCCGGTTTTTATTTTATAGAACATTTGTATTTAATGGGAATATTTAGGAAAATCTTTACATATAGCTTTTTTCACGGTTTTTGGCGGTTACGTTACAATGTCTTACGAAATAAGCTGCTGCACATGGTGTGCAAGACTTGTAGAAAATTGCAAACTGCATAAGGGAAACCTTAGCGCAGTAGCTCTTTGCTCTCGCACACCGGTATCAATTAGGTACTACAGGGTCGTTGTTTCCATTCACTTAGGTGGTAGACGGTCTCTGACAGTCGAACGCGGAGGAACAACCCGCGCATCTCTAAGGCCGGCCCAGAATGTTTACATGTTACATGCGTGTTCCCTCTCTAGGGTCCGTGTGGCGTCCCCCTGTTCCCTGTAACCCCCTATAGCACCCATTGGTGTTTAGGCTTTAGGCCTTCGTGGTGGTTTAAGACTAAAAAATTACTATAATAAATTAAACACAGACTGTCGACGTTCTAGTTGAATCTTAAGATCAACACAATGTATGCTTGGAATTGCAAAGTTGTAAGTGCTCAGAAGTAAACTTTTCATTATAGAGGTTTGAAAATTTGGACATGCTTATCTATGTCATATGTAAATTAATCACGACATTTTTTTTAATTTTCATTTTAGTCATATTTGGCCTAGAAGAAATTATAAAAAAATATATTAAAACATAGCAGAAATATATTTATTAAAAAAAATATACAATTATGTTAGTCCGAACTGAAGACGAAAATGTATTTTATAACACATACAATCTAATATTTATTGTAATATTTTCACAAAACAATGATTTAAGATTATTATAAAAAAATGTAATTTGAGAATGGCTTTATAATATTCACAATCCACTTGTTGCACATCATTGCTTTACTGGCCGCCACCTTGTCGACAGACAGGTAATTTTTGGCTTCTGCAGGTTTTGGAAGAACCATTATTGCAAATGCCCCTGATCTAGTTATATCAACAGGTCTTAGATCAACTGTTATCCATGTTTCTTCTGCATGGGACGTTTTATAACTTGATTAAAAAAACGACTGTGTGAAATTTAGAGCTGTTATTTTTGCAATCAAAAAATGCTTTACAAGCCTTAAAGTCTTTAATATTCATAACTTTCATTTATATTATGCAGTATGGTTTCTTTGTATTAACTTTTAATAGTCATATTAATGATATCGGAGAGAAGTATTCAGATTTATTAAGAACTCTCTCGATACAACTATATACATTATCTATTTCTTGTACACAATAATGTTCTGGTGCTGAAAATTTCATGGTAATGTTCAATATCTTTAGATGTGTCTTCATGACACGTGCTATTGCATAAGACATTAATGAATTTCTGTTTTGTGGAATACATCTGTCACTCCACAAAATCAGACTAATACCCATTCCAAAATAGTTATAACTGCTCTAGCAGCATTTCATCCCAAATAGCACAATATATATGTTTAGTACTTGGATTGCAGTAAGATTATACACATTAAGTTTGCTTCTATACTTATTATTTCTGTATTCAAATTTTCTTTATATTTCTGCTTTCCGTCTCGGTAAGCTGTATTTTCTGTAGAACGATTTATAAACTGTCCATTTTTCTCATCTGTCAATCTATCTTCTCTTTTCAATAGTTTAATTCCCTCACACGTCACTCCGGTCCTTTTTTGGAATTTGGAAATGGAGATTGTAATCATTGCAAAAAATATGACTGTAGAACGATTCTTTTTCTGGTTGTCACTTTTCAGCTTCACATCTTTCAACATAAATGTCATACATTTTCTTGACACTTAGGCATTACTCTAAATATTCTCTAGTACTTGTACTGTGGCACTAGTAGGATTCTACTTTTGGGAAGCTCTCTATGTGCATTTTACGAAAATTTTTGTGTTTTGCATGCTTTCCTGGTGTACTTTTTTTTCGAAGTATTTGATTCTGTTTCTTTGTTTGAATGAGTATTGTATAGGGGTTTGGCTTATATTAAGTGTTCCCAAATAAAATAATTTACAGACTTGAATTCTGTTAGAACCTACATTAAAGAAACGATGAAAAGTAAATTTTCGGCGACTATTTTCATTTTCCTTTCCTTTTCTACGTCTCTGCTCAGATAACTTTTTTTTTGTTTGTGCATCAACTTTGTAATAATTTTCAAATATTTTGTTTTGTTCATCAGCTGTAATTAATTTTTTTCAACTATGTAGACAATTATTCAGGCAGTTCTTTTTGTCTACAATAGCCTTTGCTGGAACATGTCGATTGGATTCCCTTTTCTGTTTCTAGTCTTTGTTTCACTCTTATTCTGCTCCATCTCAGCTTTATAATCTCCCTCGTTTTCTGAGATGCAAATAATTCCAAATCACAATAAATAGAAAACCTTACGATATAGTTATCATAACAAATCTGCTCTCAAAAGATATTTCTGGTAAGTATTCTCTATCCCTATCGGAGTCTTAACCTTCTAAATCAACTATAGACTCATTCTCTCTTTCCGTTATTAATAAGGGGCTCTGATGACTTGCGCCACTCACACTAGCTGTACCTGCAATTTTCCTAAAACAGTACGAGTATGTTTTTAACGCCTGCCATTTTCAAGGCCGTGGGATAAAACGAAAAATCGTATGTCAGCTTACATAATCAAATGTTCGCGCATATGTGAGGGAGATGGATAAATGAAAGTTCTTCCTGTAACTTTACAGTGACCCGCCAAAAGCCGTGACAAAACCTATAAACAACTACAATCCTTACACGAACATTCTTGCTCACGGGGACAATGGAACTCACCCAGAATAGGCGCTGAACAAAACGATAAAATGTTCGTACAATTTGTTCGTTGTTCCGCCACGTTAGAAATGCATTAGATTAATATTTAAATTTTTTTTGCGTGGAATTGGCAAAAAAACATCATGCAACTTCATACATTGACTTGAGTAGACTGAATTCACAGAATAGGAGGTTTTCGTCGACAATTCTTAATGAAAAGACATTGACTCTCCACTGGAGTATTCAGGGTTTGAGGGCTGTGGGGTTTAAACTCCTCTTCCCCTCCCGCGTTTCAGCGATTTTATTTTTTCGTTTCCACCCGTAGCTCTGCCGCCACTGGATCGATTTTCGAAACCTAGTTTTTTCGTCCTTGACTTCGTGTCAAAATTTTATGAAAACCGACAGACCAACGGAAATTGGTGACATGTTTTTTCGAAATTTAAAGCGATTTTTTCTTCACCAACAGTGAAGTAACACATTTTGACTGACTCGATCTGATACAAATCCATACTGAAGTGGCAATACTGTAACTTAGTCTGTGCCAACAGTTCTTTCCATTAGTTTTGTGAGCATCCTAGGATTGAATAGCTGTAATGAATGCTCGTGTATAGGCTGCAAATACAAATACACTGATCCAATGACATGAAAGTGTTAGAGAATTGTCTCCAAAATCATTGGTATTTTTATATATTTTGCCAAAGCTGAAGTTGATCTTTACTTCTAGACAAAGTTTCAAAACCTGATATTACTTTATATTCACCATTTTTGTTTTTCGGACCGCGTCATTTTGCATACCTAACAGCAATCCTATCAGACGCTATGTTCAGTTCAGAACTACCCTAGAACCGTTCGGACACTGACATGTGACAGCAACCAATCGCAAAGCGGTTCACCAGTCACAAGATTCCACTGCGCAGAATCAACGGTTCTAAGATAGTTCTGGTAGCAACCAGACAAGGCTAATTTGTACAGCATGTAGAATTATTCCTTTATTCGATTTTGATTTAATTCATTCTGTGTTGTGAAATAAATATTGACAAAAACGAGCCAAGAAATGAAGTGAAACTCCTTGGTACTTCATCTGTTGGAACAGTGTTCACGTTCTGAAAAACGCTCAAATCAATGCAAAGGACATACATCCGATTTCCAAAGTGCTTGTATTTTAGTTTTATCGTTTGAAATGTGGATACAGAGATCTTAAAAGCAATAGGAAATGTACATCCGCAGCCTCGCGGTACTCAAATGATTCAGCAATCATGGTGGCTAAAAATGCAACATTTCCTATTCAATACTAGTTTTACTACACAAACGAATGCTTTGAAATAGGAGAATGTTCTGCAATCTGTAAAATTATTGTGCGTTTCATAATGCAACTGTATATTTTATTTAGAATGAAAAACTGACACTCAAAGTGTCGAATAGATGAATTCAAGTAAACAAAGACAAACAGGGATACAAAAACAGTGCATGCTAAATAAGTAGTAATAAATATTAAAGTAAAATGCAATAATAGTAGTAAGATATGCACTTCACATTTAAGCATCCATCTTCTCATTTTAGCATTTAAGTGAGCAGAATTTGAGTCTTACATGGTTTAGGTAATTTTTAAAGCATTTTTTATTCGATCTATGGCAAATCGTAGTCATTCTCTATACTTTAAAATTATAAGTGTAGTGAAACTGATAATACCAGATCATTAGTTCATATATTGAATAAAAACCACACACTATATAGATAAGTCATTAGCAATTGATTGTTTATAACAGCCAGCAGCAAAAAAGTAAAATATGGCATATAATTCTTCACTGCCACTAGCTGTTTCACTCTTTTGTTTTTTTGAGAACATGCACAAAATCTGGTTGAATGCATTTTAAGTCACAAAGCACAATGTATTCAATGTAAAACAGCAGTTTTAAATCAATTTTCTTTGTATATAACTAATAATTCTTGTCATAACTAATATCTATTTCAAAAGTAATGACTATCAATAGAGAGTTTTGGTGATTTCAAATATCGGTTTGGAAGAAAACTGTCACAATCAAAAATTACCATTTTCAAACATATACCAAATAACTTTAAATAATCCATATTAATGATAGTTCTCAGTGCTCTTGTTTGCTGCTTCATGATGACCTTCCTTATTTCGAATTTGTGCAGCACATTTTTCTTATTCAGCACTGTTGCCAGAATTTGTAAAGCTGGATAAGCTTAATTAAAATAAGTTCAAGTTATGAAAACATATGAGTGTGTTGGATGCAAAAATCTGTATTTGGTATATAAGTACTTTTGAGATAATGAGGAAAAACTGCTAGCTATTATTTCAGTCGGTAAATTTTAGTGGAATTATATTTTAAATATAGAGAATCAGTTACTTAGTCGTAAGGAGCTCAATTTTTTGTTCAGTGTTTGATATATACTTCAAAAAGAGCGCTTGAAGGTTGCACTTACAGAGTTTTGCAAATGATGCTAGTAAGAACAGATATTTGCATCTGAAATATGCAAATATCTCATGGCGCCTGACTTTTTTATTCATGAAAACTCGAAAGTGTATGGGATACATTTATTATTATTTCACAAAACAACGTTTAGTACATAAAAAAGTATACTTCTAGTCAAACTCTGACGTCTTCCGGATCATAATAATCTATGTGGCCAGTTTCCATAACAGTGTCTTCTGTATTGTTGTTCAAACCTTTATCTATTATTTTATAGAAATCTAAATCTGGATTGTCTCTCCAATCGGCTTCATAATGCTTTTTGAGTAGGGAATCTATGGAGGATTTATCACCTCTTAAAGTACTTCCGATTCTTTGGATACTTGGCTTCAGTTGAGCAACCTTTTTGCTCTTCCTCACTATTGTTTTTGCACAGCCCATGTCTGACTTGTAAAATACTTCACCTCTTAGTGTGACATAGTCCTTTTCCTTGCGAAATATAAATCTCTTTGATTCGTTACACTTAAAATGCCATTGGCTGGGTTTCTTCAAAACATTATCAGTTTTCGGTAAGCACAGATTCTTCTGGCAGTCAAAAGAAAATATTTGTACATAATCTGATTCAGTTTTTAGCAGAGAATAAAAGGCTCTTGCTCGCAGGATATGCACTCTCTGTTCAGTCATAACCTTTAGCTTCTCTGCTTCAGAAGTTTGCTTCTTCAGAGATTCCTTTGCCTTGAGACATGTTGAGCAAGCGTCACTTAAAGGAGTGCCAAATGATAAGTTATACTTTTGATTGATGTAACTGCGAAAATAGGAGATTTTCACCGAAAACTGAGGATGCTGCCTACAGTACATCTCATACATCTTGGAGAAACTCAAATCACAAGGCAGATACAACCTAGACGATTGTCCCCTAACATAGTGACTTTCTGCACACTTCATACTTTCTATAAAATGTTCAATAGATCGCTTTATTTCTTCAAATTTATCTCCCACTCTGTTTCCTCCTCTTCTTTCTCTTGGCATTTCCCCATTGATGACGAATTTCCTCGAAATTCTCTCAATTCTTTCAGAGCTCAAATGAGTAATTTTCAAAAAAGCTTTTTTACAAACTCTCAAACTGCTGCCACCCACGGTAGGAACGAAATATTTCAAAGATATACCATGCAGATTTGTACTTGGTCTCTTTGGCTTCTGCCCTTCACAAAATTTTAAGACGAAAATATCTTGCTTCACTTTTCAGTGCTTGAATATAAATTCTTGTGAAATTGATGTATATCTTGCATTTTCAAATCTCTGCACCGATATACTTTTTTTGCATGGTGACACGTAGGAAAGTCTGGTAGGCCTTTGGGTTTGTGCCTAGAAAAAAGAGTGTATTAGCCGTAAGGCCTGATATGAAAAAGAAGAAGCTTACCGTAAAACCTGCATTTTGACCCTTTTCCAATTTTCCCTCTGTACCAAACGTTTTCTTCCTTTTCCAACCTCGCAGGGAGTTATATTCATTGGTAAATCCATATTATAGTCCTTCGCACTTTAACGTCCAAGTTCTATTGAGCACACAATTGCTATGTCCTAACCTAACAATTTTCTGACAGGTTCAGCGTCAGGTGATGAGAGTGAGAGTTCTGATTGGTCGAAAGCAAATACAAAGTTATGCATCTGGAAGGGATCCTCAAATGCAGACTTTTGCTTCTGATTCAAGATTTTATATGGAATTATTTTAATAATCAGTCAGTTTTGCGTCTTGCTGATTGTACTAACATATACGTGTTGCCAACGTTAAATATTTAGCGACCAAAACCCAGTTTTTGCAATTTCTGCAAATATAGAGTTTTGCATCTAGTACACTCATATGTACTAAAATAGAAACATGGTGTTCTAAATAAGTTGAATGGTCCTGATTTTTGTTATATATGCAATGTGTCAAGGTAGCCTTTTATTGCAGTTCTACTGGTTTTGTGGTCATTTGTCCTTCTGTGGTTCTATGACTCTAAACTTATCCATTTCTTATTCAGCTTGGATTCAAATATTACATATACTTTACTATACAAAAATCAACAAGGTTTTGAAAGTCTTGGGTTAGATTCACGTCAAAATCGGAAATGCCTGTTATTAGTCAGTACGGTCAAATTACCATGGTTCAATTTAGTGGTCATAAATGCTCGGTTTTTGTCGACATCGTGGATATACTGGCGCTGTCAACAATAACGTGTCGGCTTAATGATTCGTGGTTTTTGTTGCACTAAATACTCTAAATAAGAATTTAAAGTTATTTAGTAATCGTTAGATGGCGGAATGAAATAGTTTGAGTCTCTACGTTTCTACTAAAGCTGTATACTTGTATGTGGGAGACTGTTCCATGTCCCTATTGCTGAATCTTGCGAATTTCAAGTTTTGACACTCTTCCTCCAAATAGACGATATGTAAGTGTTAAACGTATTTGACATTTATCATACATAAATCATAAACATGAATGTCAAATAAGGTTACTGTTTACTTTGTGTTTGCCATAACTCACTAATGACTCAAAAGCTGCTGTTAATTGAAAAATAACAGTATCAAGTACCAAACTAATATTATCATCAATTGAATCCAGATAGTGTATGTAGTAAAATAGGTACACAAGGCATTTAGATAATTTAATGGGGTGTATATAATTTTGTGGAAGAACATAGTTCATATACATTAAAATGGCTTCTTCATGAATAGGTTGGCCTGAAGCCAAGCTGTGTTCACAGGTGCTAAAAATAACTTTTGGGACAGCGTAAAATTTTGTTGTTTAAGCTATATGTACTGAGTGACAAAAATAGGTAAACACCTACGTATGTTTACTAGGGTGGAGTGAAAATGGCATCAAAAAAAGAAATTCTCTAAATCAATAAGCCTATGCGTGGAAAAGTTGCCTAATATAAGGGTATATTCTAGAGAAAAAACGTGGCTCAAAATACTGACATCTTCTACTGCCCATTTGACTTTGAAGTTTCAAAAGTTCATGCAAATTTTTTTTTATTGCTGTGATGCAGCTCTTCGCTTATTTACATCAAAAGTATCACATTGATGCATTTTTGATGTAAATAACCCAGAACTCACCGCGTGGAGGTAGCTGCATATCGAGTTCCACCGCCCTCCCACCCTTATATATATATATATATATATATATATATATATATATATATATATATATATATTACTACGACTAATTTACGTTAAAAACTTGAAGGTATTGACTTTCGGTTTCGAATACTGGCAAACTAGCTCTAGAAGCAATTCTTGCTCTTATAAATCCATCCCTTGCTATATTTCCACACACAGCAACTGACGCCTCGGTTACTAATTTTACACACCTTTCCACTGCTTGCGTGTGGCATGGATATTTCAAAATTTCAATTTCCTCTGGAACATCTAGGATCATTTCGACGACCTCAAATCAATACCTCGTATATCAAAAAGTAGCATTTTGCAGGAGGCATAAAAAACTGCACAGCTTGAATATAAAAGATCATATCCATGTGAGGTATTAATATTTAGGATCTTGGAGATATTAAATCGACTCCTATAACTGGTTTGAACAATAACTGTTTGTTGTTCACTTTATTTTGCACATACGAGTTATTGAATACAAAAAATCCTTGACTTACGTGTTTTTGTCGTAGTCACCTGGGAATTTTAAATTCCATAAAAACAAAATAAAAATAAGCAAATAAGTTATAACTTAGTTAAACAGCTATTTTAAAGTATACTTGTTAAGAAGACATAGGTCACAAAAAAGAATTGGACTGTGGGTGGGACTACATTATGTTTGTTGGGCGGCTTAGTCCAAAACTCGCCTTACAATCGATAATAACGAATGGAGATAAAAAGAACTAAATGGAGCTGAAGCAATGCCTGACCGCGGTAAACCTTTTTGTGGACCTATGCTATCTTTTATCAGGTACAACATAAAAAAAATAACACAAATGAAGTTATTGCACAACGTAATGAGTCGCTAGCAACAATGAAACTATTCGTAGTGAGGTAGCTGGTCATAAAACGGCCAAACGTCCTTAGACAAAACTGCCTTTAACTTTTGGAGGTGGTCGAATTTGGTGTTTTTAATCTTCAGTCGTTCTTTGTGTAACTGCGTTAGAACCACATTCTCTGTTGGCTTTGTACGTGTAGTCCTCATCGGCAGTTCTTGATAAGGGTCGTCAAATTTCAATTTATAGAAGATTTTTCCAGTTGGGGAGTATTGCAGTGCTCGGAGATCCGTTACGGTAGGATCGTTAACCTTTCGTCCAGGTCTTATCGACTTATATACTTGCACGTTGTTATAATTAGTAAAAAAATCATGATCAACCATTACTGATTCATATTTGAAGGGCTTTGACCTTGATTCTTCACATATCCTTACATAGTCACTTGGTAGAACTATCTTTCTGTCAATTAGTTTTCTTTCTATTGTAGCATGCACACTATCACACTCCATTTGAGTGTGTCCCTTTATCAAGAACTTTTGCTCAATTGTGACATTCAAATCCATAGCCAAATGCAACAGTGCATTAGACATAATGGTGTTTCGGTTCTGATAAGTGCAACCATCCGTGTATATAATTATTGGTTTTTCATAATTAAAATGTTTCCTGATGTAATCTACAATAAATGAGGCAAACGTTGAGGCCTGTAAGTCACTACTAGTTTCATCAAACCAATAACAAGTACAGTCTCTCGTCGCTAAATTGTAGACGGTGAAATTGTGGACACATAGCTTGGTTTTGAAGTATGCCGTACTAGCCATCACTGATGGACACACTTTAACAGCTTGCAAATCCATTGTTAGAACGTGTTGAGTACCTGTCAAAGCTTCCTCTTTATCTTTGCTTTTTTCCACTCTTGCCCGCTCTTTTTCAGCTTGATGTATTTTCCAAGTTTCTTCAGATATGTTTTTCTCTTCATATTGACAGCAGATGTCACAAGCATCCTTTTTGGGCTGATACAACGCAATATTCAGTTTCTTCACCATCTTAGTAAGGGAATTTTGGCTCATGGGCTTTTCATTCGACTTCTCACAATGTTGAACATAAGCCTGGTAAAGACTCGTAATGTTTCTGAACGACTGTTCTAAGTATAATTTTTTTGAGTCCTTACGACAATAGTGCGACGGCAATTTGTTTAAGTTATTTAAAAATTGCTTCATAAAAACATTAGATTGCCGATTTGACAATATCCCTCCTATTTCTCTCCTTTCTGGTTTTTTATCATGAATTCCGTGTTCACTCTTACATACCCAATGAAGTACTTGCCATTCTCTCAGTCCAAATGTTGAAAGAAACATTTTCTTACACACAGGCATATTCACCGAACCTACCTTCAAATGATATTTCAATGTACCAGTGCGTCTAGATTCCAAATTCATCATGTTTCTTTTATCCTTGACTGGTATCTTCATGACCAAGCTTGCCACATAGGTTTTTCTCTGCTCCCAGTTTAAATCAGACCAGAATTTTTTGAAAATATCTTGGCGTATACTTTCATCAACCTCATTGCATTTTCTTTTTGATGACTTAATACAAAATTGTGACGAACATCCTAAAGATTGTTTTCTCGGTTCCCTTTGTGCATCGTGAAACGTGTTCGTTTGATTTTTTGACCTTCTGTAGCCTATGTATTGCTTTCCTTTCATTCGAAGATCTTGATTGATTTTTTTTAAGTTTCCACCAGCTAAGCGTTTTCGTGGTTGTGCCTGTACTTCCTCGTCGCTGAAACTATTTTCACGATATTTCGTGACTTTTGACTGTATTTCACTATCTTTTTGGCAACCCATCTCCTTAAGTACTGAAACTTCGAGTCCTGCATTTTCAGCTGCTGCCTCGACACCTGGAGTTTGATTTTGAACGATATCTGAACACTCGAATTCTGGATCTGCAAAGTTTGTAGCTTCAGATAGTCCTTCGACTTCTGAAACTTCTCCGTGAACAATTTCCATATTGTCAAACTCCGGAACTGCTAGACTTGTAGTTTCAACTGATTCTAGAATTTCTGTATCAATCATACCAAACGTTTCTATAAAACTCTCGTTGACTATGTCTACTGGTAGATCTAAGATATTGAAGTTTTCTTTTTCGCTGATATCCGGAGTAGTAATAGTGACATTGTCTTTTTTGCTAGACATATACCCCACTGGTACTTTATGTGGTGTGTTGTTACACAATTCCAGTATACGTTTACTCCGGGAGCTCATATTGTATCATTCTGTAATTGAAAACAATACCAGGTAAGTCATATATTCCGGAACACAAATTCATTATTATATCATGTACAATAGCTCGTAAGTCAAGCGTCTGTTTTACCAACGAATATTACTGAATAGGCACCAACTATTTTAAAAATTTTTAGTTCTCAGCTATCTAATAAGTTTTCTGACAAAGTATGACATTCTGTAGTTTTATTTTACACATGCATATACAGTATTGCAACAAACTTACCAGCACATTCACGCTATACAGCAAACTTAACCTAGAATATAGGAGATATACGCGCTATTGAATCTATTTTTCATCGCTCCGATTTACGTGGTATTGTTTTATGTATTTATGCAACCAAACTAGCAGGTATATACGGCTCGCTGTCTAACTGTAGCTAGGGAAGACTTACAGGAATCAGAAGCGATCAAAATAAGAAAATCAGCATTTTCGGACTTACGAGGTATTGATTTGAGGTCGTCGATTTCTTCTAGTTCTTCGTTGGAAATATATTTTGTTAGGGGAGGTTCGGTTATTGTTGACGACTGCCAATCAATGATATCTATGTAGTCTTCAGCATCAAACTTTAAAGCTGGCAGTTTGAACTCTCGTATTTCTTGTTGGTTTGCTATTTTTCTACATTTCAACAATCTTCTGAGACCTATTTCTCTCACTGTTTTGCGAGTGTCAGCCAACATGGCCAATAATAAATTTTCAGGATGACCAAAATAACCGTTCTTTTGTATAACTGGATCTATGATTTTTCTTAAGTCTTCTGGTAAAAACCTAGATTTTTCTATCATACCAAATAGATGCTTACTCCCATGTCGACATGATGGTTGGCTTTTGATTGCAAACCATGTGGTGGCATACACATATATGACATATTCTGTTAGAATAATTAGATTCTGTGATGGTTTCGCTGTGGAGACATATAATCGTAAAATCCTGTTTGCGGTCGTAAGCCATCTGGAATGAGCCATTTTACCTGGGTTCCTTTTTGACAAGTTCAAAGAGATGTTCCCTTTTGAAATAGCTTTACAAATTTCATAAAGATATTGTTGGTCGGAGCTAAGTTTACCAGCAGTGATTTCAGGCAAACTAATTTCTATTGGTTTAAAATTTGTAGGCTCTAAGATTTCACATTTTTCTAATTGCTTTCCTATCTCGCCACTGAATCCTTTTGGACCAGTTGTTTTCCCGTCTAGATGTTGCAATAAATGTCTTAAAGGTCATTTGCATGCAGTAGGCAAACAAACCATTGCAGAGATCGATTCAGCGAAACCTCAAGTTGTCTAATAATTCCATTCTTAGATCCAGTATTTACTGCCGTACCATCACAACCTATAACTAACAAGTTAGAAACATCAAAATTAGGTTCCAGAAAATCTAGAATGCCTCTTTTAATACTAAGCGAATTGCCAGATTCAGGAGTGAAATGTCCAATGTATTTAGATCCTGGTTCTGAAACTAAAACTATATGCTCCTCAATCTTCGTTTTCTTGGACGAAATTCCTTCTTTACTAGTTTGAACTAATGTTTGATCTTTTCTTCCATCAAAATATATTCCATACACTTCTTTTCTTCTCTCGTCTTTTCTCTTTAGGTCAACTCGAACTTTTGCCCTTTCTCTTCGAATTTTGCTGCGATCGACAATTTTTGATGAGTCCACTGTAGTAACTATTCCCATATCTTTTAATGCTGCACTAACAAGAATTGCTGCTGCCTTATCTGAAACACCCGTTCTGTCACATGCCAGTGCTACACTTGGTAGTTTTATTCTCTTCTGAGAAGTTGAAGGAGTATTGAGACTATCGAGTCTATCTTCTGGTTTAATAGCGTTTTCTTCTGAGGAATTGCTGCTTGAAGCCTCTTCTCCAAGAGTAGCTGGAACTAATTGGTATGGTCTGTTTGTTTCACATTTTTTGTATTCATCATCATGACTAATCTTATGTTCTTCTGTTTTATTTTTACGCTTCCATCGCTTTTCGAGTACTTTTGTAGTTTTTTTATCAACTGTTCCAATTACCATTTTTCGCGAGGTTCTCTGGTCTGTTAGAAATTTACGTTCAATTACAGGCACTTTTGATGCACAAGAACAGTTTGAAAAGTCTTTACACTTGCATAGCGATATATCAAAGAGTTTTTTCTCAGCCGAATCTCTAAACAAAACGACATGTTTTGAATTATCAAGTTTACCGTTCTTTTTTAATCGTTTCATAATATTACGATATTTACTGTGGTATTCTCGAATTTTATGTAATATTTGTTGGTCTGATATCACACAAATGGAACTTCTTTGCCACAAGCTTTTCAAGTCTTTTATTAAAACGGAACACACATCACCAGCAAAACTAGGTCTTTGTTTGTTTTGTTGCACAAGTTCCTGTCGAAGATACAAATAATATTTTATAATATCCGCATAAGTCGGCAACACATTGTTCTTAAATGGTTTTGGTACACCAAACACAGGGCACAATGAATTACGTCGCGTAAAAGACATTGTTTTGCATACGAGCGCAATGACACGAGTAGCGAACTGCTCTAATGCTACCAGACAACTAAAACTATGACTCGACAATATGAATCCGTCAGTAGACCATTCGTGTGTCTACGCGGTCTACGAGCACATACGATTTGTTTAGAGCGTTCCTGGAATCAAGTCTGCCTCGTTGGCGCCGAGGCGCGCCGGAGCGGCTTGTGACGTGGCGTCAAAGAATAGTATTTTTCAAGGTCGGGATATTATCAAGGTCTATGAGTGTTTTATTATACTTCCTTTACGTAGATATTCAGTTATTCATATAGATAACAAGATATTAGTGACAATAATACAAAATGATATATATTTTCAAAATATTGGGAAAATGCCAATAATCAAAGCTGTTTGGGCAGTAGAAGTTTTAGGATAATTGAGCCCAGATTTTTTTAGGGACTGCTGCGGGTAAAAGGCAACTTTTCGTCGCATAGGCTTCATGAAATTATAAAATTTTTTTTTCGCTCCAGCCTAATGTTTACCCGATTTTAATAATTTTTGGCATGTATGTTCAATGTCCCTTACTAGTAAAATTATTAAATTTTCAGCTTGATTCGTCAACTGACTGCAGAAGGTGGTTGAATAATGTGTTGAGGATCCACGATTTCTTATACACTCATTGACACGCCTGGGCATCGTGCTGATAAGGTGGTCGATATCCTGTTGGGGTATCTCATTCCAGGCTACTGCAACTTCGTGAGTAAGACCTGCTAAAGTCTGTGGTGGATGTTGCAAATTCAAGAGCCTGCGACCTATCATGTCCCAGACATGTTCCATTGGAGATAGGTCAGGCGATCGTGGTGACCAAGGAAATCGGTTGATGCCATGTTGATCCATGAAGGCTAACGATGCTCTGGAAACATGGGGTCTGGCATTGTCTTGCTGAAAAATCGGGTTTTGGATGGTGTATAGGTATGGAATAAAATGAGGCTCCACTACTTCCTGGATATAGCGTCGGGCTGTCATGTTGCCTCTGTTGAAAATTAGTGGTGATCTGCTACCATAAGCAATAGCACCCCATACCATAACTCCCACGGTGTGGTGAACGTGACGCTCTCTGTCAAATTGTGGCTGACGTCTTTCACCACGTCGCCTTCACACTCTTTGCCGACCATCGTGCATCCCCAGACAGAAGCGGGATTCGTCACTAAAGACCACCTGATTCCATTCCTGGTCCCACAGAATTCTTTCTCTACACCAGAGCAAACGGTTACGCCGATGTTCAGAAAAAAGGCCAAACTGTCGTATTCGGCGATATACCGTACGCAATCCAACCATCCTTCCATGCTCACGAAACCACTGATTAGCGATGGCTCGAGTCAGGGGCGGCTGGCCCTTGAGTTCTGCAGAGCTGCAGAAATACCAAAACTTTTGTCTTAACAGAAAAAAGCAGTAGTAATTTGATCATTATTTATTTTACATGTTATCACACAAATAGAAACAATACCGGCAACGCTGCCCCTGCAAGACACGGCGCCGAGTCTGTTTTGTACTGAGAAAGCATTATAATCGATCGAATCATGTTCGTCGCGACCGCAGCGTAACATTATTCATGGACCAGGGTCTGTGCACTACTTCAACACAAGCCGCACGCGCACGCTCTCTACAAAATCAAATGCGCGATTTAAGCATAAGCATGTGCTGCAGGTTATACAGATCCGTACAGATCTGATTGGTCGGTCGGTGCTCGGTCCTCGGCGGTATAGGCGTATTGGTCTTGTCGCGTGACGTGGGTCTTACGTTGAGTGTCTAGTGACTCACTGTCTGACTGGCTGTGTAGAAGGGTAGTGCAAGACAATGGATGTGGTTTACAGACTCAGCGTGAAACGATTCTGGAAATACACATTTGAAGAAAAAATTGAGCTGAAGGTGTTAGGTCGACCGCTGCCGGACATATTTATAAAAACACAGGGCGTTAGTCGGGGCAAGGGCTATACGTGGCATTCCAGCACAGAGATTTACACCAGAAATGACTGGATTTGTGGGTGCAACAGGAAGAATACCCTTTTCTGCTTTCCTTGCATACTTTTCGGTGGTGACAAAGCTTGGACGGAGGTAAGTGTTACAGATTTAGTGCACCCGAAAGAAAAAATTAAGAAGCATGAAAACTCTAAAACACATCTTCATAATTCGATGGAATTGGATTTATTGGGGACTGTTAACATCAAGTGCTCAGTTAGATTCAGCATATTGGAGAAATATACAACAGCATAATGATACCGTTACAAAAAACAGGTACGTTCTATCAAAAATAATCGATTGTATAAAATTTTGCGGAGCATTTGAATTGGCGCTACGGGGCCACGACGAAACCGAGAGCTCCCAGAACCCGGAAATATTTCGTGGACTGATTAATTTTTCTGCTGAGCTTGATACAACCTTAAGCGAACACATAAAAAATGCTTCAATATTTAAAGGAACTTCGAAAGAAATACAAAACGATCTACTGGATTGTATTCTTGAAGTTTGTCATGAAGAAATAATAAAACAGATTAACATAGCCTCGTGTTTGGCGATAATAGCAGATGAAACAATGGACATTTCGGGGAAAACCCAACTGGCAACAATTTTCAGATACGTATTTAACGGCGAACCAGAAGTGTTTTTGGAATTATATGAATCCCGAAAAATGTGACGCTGATACTCTCACGAGACGTAGATCCATTAATAGGAAATTTCCCTAACAAACTGATTTCACAAAGCTATGATGGAGCTGCGGTAATGAGCGGACATAATGCTAGAGTACAGGCAAAAATTAAACAAAGATATCCATTTGCTCACTATGTGCATTGCTATGCGCATCAGTTAAACCTGATTATGTCTCATGCTGCTTCCGCAAATGCTCAAGTTTGGGTGTTCTTTGGGGAATTGAAAGATATTCCAGGATTTTTTAATAATTCTATTCAACGCGTAGAGGGAACAGAATTGTGGGGAAAAATTCCCCAAGGAGCAACAGCTCGTTGGAATTTTAATATTCGAACAATAAATGTAGTGTTTGAGAACAGAGAAGAAAATTTCACAAATGAAACCGTTTGCAAGGCAGCTTGCGGTATTCGCCGTATGTTAAATGATTTCGTGTCTTGGTTGACATTTTTTCATTATGTCATGAATCACGTCGACATCTTGTTCAACCAGTTACAGAAGAGAAAAACCGAGCCAGCGCAAGTTAAAACGGCTATCGATAATTTTGAAAAATGTATTGTCGATGTGAGAAATAAAATTGATGACATAATAAATGAAGCCAAACGTATTTGCACTGAACCCCAAGGCAACAAAAGGAGACGACGTAATAATAGCAGTCACCATCACCGAGTTGCCGCATTAGAAGTATGCGACAATATAGTGAATTCTGAATCCTTTTTTTCCCCGAAGACTTTGGAGAATACTAAGTTTCCTGATGACAAGTTGGAAACTACCTGCTTGGCTTATCCCTAATTAGAAAAAAGTCGTTTAAAGACAGAGTTGTCTGTTATTTATGCACGGAATGATTGCCGAGATTTACATGGAACTCTGTCTCTTTTGAAATTTTTGATACAAAATAGTGAGGAAACACTAAAAGAAACAAAAAAGCTATTAGAAATTATTATTACAACTCCTATGTCAACATCACAGGCTGAGCGAAATTTCTCAACATTGAAAAGAATCAAGACCTTTCTTCGAAATACTATGACCCAGGATCGTCTTACAGCGTTGTCGATGCTGTCCATTGAAAAGCAATTTATTTCGACCATGAAAAATTTCAACGGGAAGGTAATTGACAAATTTGCTGCCAAGAAGGAGCGCAGGATCGAACTGGCATATAAAAAAAATAGGTAAGTTTGGATTTGCAGAACACCTGTTTGATTTTGCCACGAGCCGCCACTGGGCTCGAGTACTACTGAATCTGTCTCTCGGAGCCAGAGGTCTTAACCGGCGGTTTTGTCGCTCTGTGGTCCCTCTGCGACGTCCAGAACCCGTTGCTCGCTGCAGAATACTCCGTAAGGATATGTTTTTCCTCTTAGAAACTACTCTTATCGATAGAGCGGCGTCACGCAACCCAGCAATTCGACCCCTCTCAAAGTCACTTAGCTGGGACACACGGCGAATTTTACGCACTCTAGGCATTTTGAGCAATCACAAAAAGATTTCTCAATAAGCTACACGAAATGTAACATTTCAACACAAAAACTCAACAGAAAACCCTGGCCATTTTATCACTTGTTGTTCACGGCAAGATAAATAGATACGTAAAAAATTATCGAATTCTAATAAACATACGCAGGTGTTTACCTTTGTTTTGTCACTCAGTATATGTCCAAAAACATTGCAATTGTACTCTCAGGATTATCATAGTACCAACGAAAATGCCTAAAATACAATGGGGGTTTAGAATGTGATTCCGCAGCTCTCTTTTATAGCTGATCAAATTGGAAATATCCTTGAAGCCAGTGTATCCATAAGGGATATATACACTTCGTTGTCGTCATTGTACATACTGTTCATATATATGAAATATTCTTTATAAAGAAAAAGTTTAGACATATTCAGCTGAGATTCATTGAAACCATATATGATATTAATAGGGTTTGATTAAAAAAACGGAATTTAGAATTTAGGGATACATTTGTTGTAGAGTGCCTTCAGGTAACTAACCAAATGTGATTATCCTATCATTAATTGGAAGAAATGGAATTAAATTTCATTAGTAAATAAGTGTCATAAGTAAAAGATACATATACATGTGTAATGTCTTTTATTTTCCGTAAAAGGGCCGCATGTTTTGTACGGTATTGACTTCGTAAACAAGTGTTTTCTCCCGTATTTATTTTTTACATTCTACAATTGTATCACACTGTTGAGATAATGGAGGTAATTTGCAATTTAATACCACATTTTTCTAAAGTGCTAGATTCAAATATTGGAAATACACCAATATGAAATATGTAATCTATTCAAATAGGTTATAGATAAAAAGTCTGCAAAGATGCATTAGTTAGGTAAAAGAATCGTGCACATATTTAGGATGGTATTGTCTATATATTAGCTCATTTTTAAAATGCACATGTCTTTTATCTGTTGTTTAATATTATCTTTAATTATCTTCACACTTGCTAAAACGTCTTATTATTAACCTGATTTCAAAAATAATATAAAATCGCATATCTGTAACTCGTTTAGCTAGCTCTAAGGTATATTTCCTAACTGTATTAAGTGGTGTTATCGACTTTTATGATACAACTGTGTTCACTATCTGTAACTCATCTCTAATTTATTTTATTTATGTAATATTTCCCAGTGGATTGGATTGGTGAAAAAAACTGCTTCTATTTGCAAGTTTTAACTATTTTTCTCTTATACGTATTCTATCTCCTAAATTATTCTCAGCTTACTGATGACAGTGGAAAAGGTAGAATATTTTCACGAGACTGGAATTGGTAAAAAACTGTATATATAGAAAATTAATTGAAAATCTTGTTTCGAGCCTTCAAACACGGAACATTACACATTATGAAATTGTCATCAGTAAACAAAATGATGACCTAGTGTGTTTCCACTAGTGACTGGAATTTGATAACAAAAATTTAAAGACATATCTAAAATTGTCTAATTTCTTGGTAACTGTTTTTGTGTAAATAATTTTATTTATTTCATTTTGGCCATATTATAAATTGACTGAAAAACAAATAATTTTAGAGAAGTTTTGTATTGTCTAGTACTAAAAAAATGCATCATGTAAAAATTGGTGAATAAAACTACCCCCTAAAACTCATTTAAGAGCCGTATTCACAAACGACCATAAGAGTTGCGGTCGCTTTAGGTAGCATGTGACCTCGGAGTTGTTTATATGTTCCATTACTACAATGATTTAGCATTCATTTCTCCATGGATATCAAAAGAGTGCGTATCCCTCATTCTGGGCTGCGTTCGTAATTATTTGACGTACCTGTTCCATGTGTTCGGAAATAGAACAAAGTGCACTTTTCTTCCCGCTCTTAAAACCTTGGGAATAAGACTGTTGGCACATGTCATTCTTATGGTTCATTATTTTTTTACTTCGTCTGTCAAAAAGTACTCTAAATTGGCAGAATATATATTTTTCACGATAAATGGTCTATTTTCATACCCATAGCTTTTCATGTACTAGAAAAATGGTGGGAGAAAACGTAGTTAGAAATTAGTATGCCGTCGTCAAGTGTCGTTATAAGACTTTCTAATAATTTAGGCGTTCTAAAAATAACGACACTTGATGACGGCATACTAATTCCTAACTACGTTTTCTGCCACCATTTTTCTTTTACACGAAACGCTATGGATACGAGATAGACCATTTATCGTGAAAAATATATATTCTGCCAATTTAAGGTAACTTTTGATAAACAGACGAAGTAAACAAACAATGAACCATTAAGAATGACAAGCGCCAACAGTCTTATTCCCAAGGTTTTAAGCTTGGGATGAAAAGTGCACTTTTGACGTTCCAGAAAGATTACTATGGTCTATTTCCGAACACATGGAACAGGCACGTCAAATAATTACTAACGCTGAAATTGTTACAGAGTAGTGCAAAGTATACTTTGTAAGAATTTACGAAAGCAGCCCTGTGTACAGTATTACATTACCAAGTGATTTACAAACGCACCCCCTGATCACATATTCAGACAGAACCTTTTCTTTAACTATTTCAATAAAATCTGGAATAATTGTCTACTCCGTGAGCAATGCTCCCCGTCTTCTTTGACAAAGCATACAACACTGCACAACACATTCGGATATACGGCAAATCCAGCTGGTAGTTTATCGTTACGTCAGCGAAAAACACGACGTCATGACAATTATCTGACATATCCAGGGTTCCCTCGAAGGATTCTAACTTTTAGGGTCATTCGTGAATATGGCTCTTATTTTTATTTCAACGCACACGTATGTTTTCGGTTTTTTCTTTTGGATAAGACAAAAAATCTTTAACATTTGATCTTCCTTTCACTTTATTTTTCTATTCGATCATATTCTCAGCCTTCACATACTATTGAATCAAACATTCATACGGTGTTTTTAAAAAGTACTATAACGAGGAATGCAGTTTTATTATAGAATAGTACAATACAAAAATGTATCTGGAGATGGAATAATTTTACATAAAATGAATTACCTCTAAACACGTCAGGACCTATGTTACTAATTGTTTTATAATGGAATCACATATGAAAATACTATTAACAAATCGTATAAGCAATGATTAACGTAGGTAATCAAATATTGCTCTCCATGGAAGGCCAGTCAATAGCATCCACAAATTCTTTGTTGGCAGCTGTCCTCAGATAGTTTTTTAATACTGTCTGTAATGCATACCTAAAATGATTGGAAAAATTGAAATCAATATTTTATTATCCTTCTAGAATGGTGAAATGATAGATCAACATATTCTTTGATACAACTACCAGTACACGATTCTAGTTGAGAAAATTGAGATTCTATATCCTTGCAAAAAGGGTATGGGGAATTAAACTGTGATGACTGATTACTTCAAAGGATAGAAGAGAATTGTATTCAAGAATGCCTATGGATTCATAAAAGAAATTGGGAACATCACACAGAAATTTTCCAAAATAAACATCCACAAAGTACTTATACAGGGTGGTCGATATGTAACTGAATGGTTTGTATCTTGAATATTTGTGAAATGAAATAAGGACGTTCATTTTTTTCAACTTAATCTTTTATTGAAACTTAGAAATTATGTATGAAAAATAATATCAGACATATGTCCGCCTCTAGAAGCCGCGCAAACCTGAGCCCTCTTGATTACATTTTCCCATAACTTTTGATAGGTTTCGGGGAGAATATTTTCAATCGCTTCCATAATATTGTTCTTCAGCTGCTCTACAGTATTTGGTTTGCTGGCATAAACCCTATTTTTCAAAACATCCCCATAAAAAAGTCAGGAGCCGTTAAATCCGGTGACCTTGGTGGCCAGTTGATATCACCATATCAAGAAATTAAACGTCCCGGAAATATTCGCAAAAGATTCATTGTTTCCCTAGCTGTGTGACAAGTTGCCCCGTCTGCTAGAACCACATGTTTTGCAGGTTAAATTGTTGGATTTTAGCAGCCAGAAAGTTTTGTACCATGTCATGGTAGCGCTCGCCAGTGACAGTAAGAGAGTTACCTGCAGCGTCTTCAAAGGAGTAAGGACCAATGACACCTCCATATCAAACACTGCACAAAACTGTGACTCGACGAGGATGTAGTGGTCGTTGATGGATGACACGAGAGTTCTCTAATGCCCAGATACGACAATTCTGCTTATTAGCAAATCCGTTCATATCGTGTGTGGCTTCATCACTCATTATCGGTTGACGGTAAAAATCGTTATTTTGGTACTAAGCTGCAATATCGCGACTTTCATGGTCACTAGGCTGTAGTTCTTGAGTTAACTAATTTTGTGCGAATGCCCAGTTCTTGAGAACGATGACTGGTAGACGTCTTAGGGCGCTCCATTACACTTTCACGAACTCTGTCGATATTTTCTGGATGACGATCAGTTTGGACACGACCCGACCCTGGCAAGTCTTCAACTTCACCTGTTTGTTCAAATTTCCGCACCAACTGAAAAATGGTGTGTTGACACTGGGTACATTACTTCGACCGAAATCTTGTAGCTTCCGAATCGTTGCAGCAATCGACTCATTATTTAAGAAAACGTTTTAACAATACGGACGCGTTGTGAGATCGTGTAGCCCATGATGAATTGGACACATGTGCTTTAAACAACTACTACGGCGCCACCTACTGAAATGTTTATATAAAAAAATAGCGCCCAATTTAAATAAATTAGTTATATATTGGCCACACTGTACATGCATACAAGTTACAGCACTGTTAATTATAGCATGTATTCTATCCAATTATCATACAATGGTTGCTACATTACTTCGTTATCATAATTTTGATGCCCTTTCATTTGAGATAAATAATATGCTATGAAGTAACGCACGGAAGATCATCTGTTCTTGGACAATCTTCTAGCTCAGGGCTGTCCAACTTGATGTGGCCCAAGGGCCACTTAAAAAAATGCAGTTTGGAGGGCCGCATTATAAAATCTTTCTATACAACTTTATTACTGAGTTAATGTAAGAATTGTGCAGATTCGGTATTTGAGAGTAATTTATACATGTGATGTATACATGACCCGTGAAGCGGGCTGCAAGAAAGGAGTTCGCGGGCCGCATGCGGCCCGCGTGCCGTGTGTTGGACAGCCCTGTTATAGCTCATGCCTAGTGAGTATGAAGTATTTTTTTTTGAATTTAGACGCATACCTTGCTTCCTTTTCTTCGCCCAATTGTGATGTTAATGCAGACACATTATATTCTAGTACTGCTAGCTTGGACTGAAGTTGTTGGATAGCTTCTGGCAGTACTTTGTGAAGGTCCAGAGATTTGCTCGAAGGCCCACCATCTAAGATACTCACTGTTAAAAGATACAGAAATGTCATGATTGTAACATATGTATATTTAATGCCAGTGGTGCAGCTAGCATTATCAATTGGCAGGGAAATGTTCGAAAAAATTATACTATGTGAAACAGTGTATAATAATAAACGAAAATAAATATAACATGACAACAAACAAACACATATAATTTCCTATTTTGTAGCTGCACCACTGTTCACTGTATCAAAGCATGCAAAAACCATGCATAGGTAAAAACTTGTTTATTTCCAGTGAGATTATTCTTGCTCCTTCTGCAGTTTATGTCTTTCTATTTTCTTATTTTGCAAATTTCATAACGCGTACAGTGTTCTTGCGACATGTGCGTATTTATGTGGAATCATTCAAACTTCGTAGCTTAGAACATGTTATTCAACTGTCAACTTTATATAGGCGTCTTAAAGCAGACTTTAACAAGTTAGATACCAAACACTTTTAAAAAAGGCTTGAAGTTAGCATAAAAATATAAACAGCAAAGTTAGACATGCTTTATGCCCTTTCCACTTCAAAACAACAATTCTGTGACTTACACTTTTCAAGTACTTCTTTATACCATACAGTTTAATAATGGGTACTATCAAACTAAAGGATAAAACTAATATAATAACATAATTTATATACTGAAGAGGGGAAGGGAGTTAAAGTGAAAATATGTTTATTTGGTTAACATTTGATCTTAAAAATTATTCAAGTGACGTTATTTATATGTAGCCTAAGTTATGACTGTTTGCTCGCTAATTTGTATGGATTTATGACGTACATACAAGTTTAGGTAAGGGACCATAAGGGTATTGATAATATTGATAGTCACACCACAGAATAACAGATTGCAGCTTGCTGCAATCTAAACATTTAAAGATTAAAAACATTCTATTTGGAATGTGGTTGTTGAGTTTTTTTCAACTGTCTTTTAACGAATGATCCGCAACACCATGTGGTAGCTCTTTGAGTATGAGGTCTGAACAGGTGCGGTTGTGCCGGTTGAGATATTCTTGAAGATGAAGATGACCTACATAGTTTCTCTGGCATCTGGACGCTACCTCCAGTTAACAGGTCACCTACACAATGCATATCCTATTTTAAGCCTACAGTTCAAAACCAAAGACCTTGTTTAATTAAAGCAATGAGATATTGTATTTTTAAATGATATTAAACAGAAATAACCTGTATCAATATCTCTTCATTTCTATTTACAATGATAAAAAACAAGACCAAAAAATGATAATATAAACTAAGGAAGTCCGGTACAATGGCGTCTGTTTCCAGTCTACAGTTTTAGGCTGATGATAAATGCTTCAATATCAGGTACTACATCTTTTATCTTGCAAGTTATACTGGTACACGAAGTTTGGTCGGATTTGGTATGCAAAGATCTGTCGTTATTCTGAGCTACATTTTCTTACCTGAACTAACAGTACTTCTCGGCTTCGCCGCACTGCAATACGCTTCAATGACATCCAGCAGCTGCCCGTCTTCTTTGTAAGTGGTGGGTCGCCTGCCGTGACGTTGATATGGCGCGGCGCCTAAGGCTAAACACGGGCGGAGCGGAGCTGTGGGTCGGAGACAAGCAGACGTCCAACCGCGTCGATTGGAAGAAGTTTGATTAGGGGCGTGATTACCGATTGGTGGGGGAGATGTGGGCGTAACGGCAACTGGGGAAGACTGTCAAGGATAGTAAACTCTTAGTCAATAAGGACCAGACGATGTTGTAAAACGAGCTGTTTTGGACGTGTCAACTGTTCGCTGTGACTTCGCATAGCGACATGGATTCAAGAGGTCCATTGGTTCAAAGATCAGACTAAAAAAGTCGCAGATATTTTTTAAAAGCCACAATCCACCCATGCCAATAAAGTTCAAGACAACCCAGGCCATTATTCAAATTCATCCGCACCTATATGACAGGATCACTAAACATTGCACCTTTTGTATCTGGCCTACTATGAGAAGCCCTGACAGGCAGTTGATTCATTCAAATAGCCATATGTGGACCTTTAAAATAAAAAAAAAACGATTCCTTATGCATAACTTCTTATAAACCACCCTAAATCAATCAGTCCTAATTGGAAAACCCTTTAGATAGGTGTAAGGTGTATGCAGATACTTTGAATCATATCATCAATAATACCAACTGTAAGTTTTGTTCATAATTAAATGAATTTCCAAATTTTAGATCTTTTGAATAAGCATTAGTAACATCAAATCAATAAAAATATACAATATAGTTCTTACATGAGGTGGAGGCTGAGGAACAAACTGCGCCTGAGAAGGTGCTACCTTCTGACTCAGAGTTGAGGCATTAGAAGCCCTTGGCATTTGATTCTTTAGTAGCTCTACCCAATGATCTGCTTCTTCTTTACTTTGACATACAGCTACTCGTTTGTCAATCATTGGGGCACTGATTTCAAATGCGTTTTTGTATTGATCACTATCTTCTAGTCTGGTTACTGTCAATCCTGTTAGGAATAACTTTCCCTAAAAAGAACAAAATGTCACAATGTTATCTTGAGAAATTAATTGACATACCTCATATATGAAAGCACTTAATCTGTGACTGACTGAAAGAATAACAAGTGTGGAAGGAAATAGAACAAAATATCTGTCATGATGTTGTGGACCAACTGCTACTGATCCCATGTAAATAATATCTCCTAGAGTGGTTAAGCTTGGTCCCTCCCAACCTCTTACTGGACCAGTGAGCACTTGAAGTTCTAGCTCTTTTTGTCTCCTGGTAGCAGAGCATGTGGCCTGTTGATGAATAAAAAGTATCAGATCAGTGTAAGTTAACATAATTAAATGAATACTTACTGCAATATCTTTGTAAATACTGACAGACCTTTGAGTATCACCTCTATCAGGATGACACTCCTCTACATATCTTTCCAATTCTTGCAGCATTCCTGAATACTTATCCAATCTTCTAAAAGGCTTACTCAGCATTGTAGTCAGAACTAATACACCTGGACTTGCAGCCCCTTTTGATTCCATGTACTTTGTCAACTCATCTCTAAAACATATCTATAACACTATACACATTACAAAAGTTTATAAATTCAATAAGACATTTGGTCGAGTAATCAAGAGATTACCTGTGTTTTTCCAAAATGCAAACTGCTCTAGGATGTGAGGCACAATATGTCTGATGAACACTTTTCATTTTTGTTGCCCAATTCAAAAATATCTTCCCAACTCTCTGTTCATTACCAGGCTTTGCAGACTCAGCTTCTACAAGATTCAGTAATTGCTGGTGTGTTTCAAGAACATCAGTGATGTTGCTTGTCAGTTGCTTATATTCATCTGGTGTGAGGCTGTGAAATTATGTGATTACTAGATATATAGAGAAACTGCAAGCAATATAAGTGCTGAAAGTTCAAATGCAAAATTTTAAAAAGATCAGCACTGCTTTTAGAGAGCTGTTGCCTTGGTCTACATAAACAGTAGTCTCTATATATAGTACATGAGCAATGCCTTTCTTAAAATATTAATTATACATTTCAGATATGTGACAGCTGATAAGTAGATAGAGTAGGTACTTACAATGTGCTTTTTTCTAATGGTTGCAAAAAATTTGTGACCAATGCTTCTAATTCTGTGACATGTGCTTTTTCTGAATCTATTAAATCTTTTAGTACCACACTTCTATATTGGTTCTCCTGATTTATATGAGGTTTAGGAACATCTGAAGAGTAGAATTTTTATAAATTGTTATATAAAAAGTAGAAGTGTGTAGACCTTTCAGTTCTTTGACATAATTGCTTGGAAACCATCCAGTTTCACCATTAAGTGTTCCTTCCCACCATCCATCGTCTTTTTGAGTAATAGTGATTATATCTCCTTTCTTGAAAGTAAGCTAGAATGTTATTAAAAATATAACATAGCTAAACTGTCAAATGAGAAAAACCTTTCTGAAATATTGTAAAAACTTCAGGTACATTATGATTAAAATAACTTTGAGACATTTTTATGAAAATAGCAAATGATTATAAGGTGGACGTCAAAATATCTTGTGTGGCAATGATGTATTGAATGGGGGCAGATATAATAGTCCTACTTGAGTCTTATAATGATGAATATTATGAATTATATTGTTTGGAAATCCCTCTGAACTTAAACATTTATTAACAATTTAAGTGTATATATTTTTAAATAGAAACTACTACACTATCATTGCCTATATTTTACCTCGTCATTATTTGTTTTCTTATAACAGTAAACTGCCTGTACCACTAGAGCCTCACTAGCCATGTTTCTCTTTTAAAATCTGTTCATCAAACTGAAAAAACATAGGTGCATGTATTTTCTATATTTAAATCATCCATGAAAGATCTTTTATTAGATGTGGAAGGTGCTATTTGTGAACTATTGGATGAAAAAAGTTAGCTTACCTTCTTATTAAATATATCCTCACTTCTTGAAAGTCGTACTTAAATAATTGACTTTGCAGCTATAATTTTGCTTATTTTTGAATGTATTTTCACGCCAGGCTGATATATTTTCAAAAACTTTCTCAAAGTTCAAAACACGTTCAAAATAAACAACACTTGTGACTAATTCACCTAATGTCATCACTTGACATGGAACAAAGAGACGAGAGAACGAGAGTTGTTGACTTCACAGACCCACAGAACACATAAGACCTCATGGGATCCGCAAAGCGCTCAAAGGGCTTAGTCCAGGAAATATTTTTGTGTATATCATTTTGCGCCAACAACTGTTATAACAACTTTTTGAGCACATACCAAAATTTTTTCTCTCCGAAAAACTTCTTTTTGGTTTATTTTGAACTTTTCTGTGAAGTTTTTGAGATATTTGAAAAAGTGCAAAACATGCTATTTTCGATCACGTAAAATCAATATGAAAAACAAAAAAAATAATGTTGCAAAAGTTCCTAAATATTCTTCAAATCCTAAAGCATATTTGGGAGTATTGTTATTGTAAATCTTTGTTCTTCAATTGTTAATCAAGCGTGCACTTATTGTATTTATTTTATATACGAGTATAAATAATATTTAGGAACTTTGGAAACATAAAGCTTTCGTCTTTTTATATTGTTTTTCGGGACCGCTCTCCTAGACGCCGACGGGAGCATTTTTTTTTCAAGAAAATAGTATTTATTGCTGTATCTTGATGTAAAAATTTCTTTGCTAGACTTGCGCCCCCTTCCACTCCCTAGATGTATTCCACCCTCCCAACGCTCTTCAATTGTCATAAGGGTATTTGCATAACCATGCTTTCTCAATCTGTCCTTGATCCAAGCCGTACCCAGAATTCGCTGTTTGATCACGGTGTCCTCAAACTTGTGACTTTCTTTTACAGAGTGTATACAGGGTGTTCATTCGAAAACTTCCCACCACGGATTTATAGAAAACCACGAATTAAAAGAAAAAACGCAGAGATACGTCAAAGGATTTGTCATTTTTTAATGAAAAACTACTTCACCCCCTTTCATAATCTGCCACCCAGGGTCATCCTCTTAAAAATTTTATAAGATAAGGGGTATCGAGTAATAGCTTGTTTGACAGGTCTTTCGAAGTCCTTTATTTTGATGTTTGATTTTTTAAAATCAGTTGATTCGTTTTTGAGAAAATTAGAAGAATCTTTATTTATCTTAATTTGTTCAGATAGAAAACAAAAACACAAGAAAAAATCACTTTTTATTACAATAAGTGTCCAAAATGTTGCCCGTTAGAGCCAAATCTACAATGCGTCTGTAATTTAAAACGGAAACTACCAACATAAACAGCAATTCGGAAGATTAAACGTGTCAACAACCAAATAACAACCCGATTTTTTTCCGCTTTCTTTTCATAAACACAGATATTCTGGTCGAACTGTTTTTATTGTTATACCTGTTTAGTCATTTGTTGCTAAGGGAAAGACAGAATCTCAGTTGCTTACCTTTGTGACAATCTTGAGATAGTGAAAATTAATTTCTTAATTCAGATTTTACTTCCAAAATGGTTTACACACTAGCCGAAAAAGTGGAAATGATTCTAATTTATGGTGCTCAAAACCAATGTGCTCGGCAAACTGCCGACACGTTTAACGCCAGACATCCAGGGAAGATAACTCCGCATAGGTTTGTTTTGGACTTTGTTACTAAATTTACTCATACTGGACCTGTTGCAAATAAAAAACGTGATCATCGGAAAGTTTTGGATGAAGCCGCTCAAGTTGAAGTTTTGGGTCATTTTGGAATAAATCCTAATGCTTCATTAGGGAAAATTGTTGCTGCGACTGGTATTTCATTAGGCTCTTTACACACAGTTACTAAACTCTATAAATTTCATCTATTCAAAATGAAAATATTGCAAGAGTTAACCGAAGATGATTTCGATAGGCGAGTTTAGTTTTGTGAACAACTGACTGCAGCGATTAATGATATCGTTCATGTAAGGAATATCTGCTTCAATTATGAATGAACATTTTATCTAAATGGATTTGTTAATAAGCATAACTGCATGTATTGGAGCAATGAAAATCCTCATGCTTTTGTAGAAGGGCATACCCAGTACCCCCAAAAATTAATGTATGGGTAGGAATTTTAGGAAACAAAGTGATTGGGCCATTGTTTTTTAATGGAAATTTGAATAGAGACATTTATTTGGATATGTTGGAAAATACGAGTACCATCAATCCGCTTATCACTGAAACCATTGAAAACCAAATCGAAGAGGATGGAAACCATATATTTGGTGAGGCTGAAATATATTTCCAGCAAGACGGCGCTCCTCCTCACTATCTTTTTCTGGTTCGGCAATGGCTAGACGACGAGTTTTCAGATAAATGGATAGGGCGAAGGGCGCCTATAGAATGACCTGCTAGATCTCCTGATTTGTCGCCATTAGTCTTTTTTCTATGGTTCTAAGTTTGGATGAACTTCGTCAACGCATCATCGAAAGCTGCCATGACATCCCACAACATGTTTTTGAAAATGTCCGTCAGGAATTTGTACATCGCCTACATCATTGTTAACGGGCAACATTTTGAACACTAATTGAAATAAAAAGTGATATTTTCATGTGTTTTTGTTTTCTATCTGAACAAATTAAGACAAAGGTTTTTCTAATTTTCTTGAAAACAAATCGACCGATTTTGAAAAATCAAACGTCAAAATAAAGGACCTTGAAGGAAATTTCAAACAAGCTATTACTCGATACCCCTTGTCATTTGGGATTTTTAAGGGGATGACCCTGGGGAGCAGAGGGGGAAGGGGGGTGAAATAGTTTTTGGTCAAAAAGTTGTACCCCTTGACAAGTCTTTTGCAGTGTCTCGGCGTTTCTTCTTTTAATCAGTGGTTTTCGATAAATCCGTGGTGAGAAGTTTTCAAATGAACACCCTGTATATAAGGCAACAATAAGAATATTTGTTTAATAACATATACCAAAGCTTCTTAAGATATCAGAGATATTTAGGTTTCAAAAAGCAATAAATGAGCCAGTAAAACTCTGCCATGCCCCCCTTCCGAAATCCGGTAATACGTCAAAACGTATGATGTTTGTACTAAGATTGTGTGAGAGAGTATCCAAATTAGGCGTCGCTTGGTGTCTAGGTTAACATAACTTATAAACAATTTTAACAACCGAAATTGGCACATTCCTAGAGCAATAAAGTAGTTATCGATTTGATACCAGCATCTTTAAGATCCTATTGATACTCAGCGAGCGTACTCAGAACGTCGCCGTCATCCTAGATGTTTCTTTCCATCAGAGCTGCATATATTTGTTTATGTCGTGCAAAAGCCGTCAGGTGGTAACACGGTTGAAGACCTAGACAGCCCCAAATGTTGCAAACTCAGGAGGAGGTAAACAAATGCGTGTTTTTGAGTCGAATAGCGACATCCTCAAGCAGTGTTTACAATTAAAACATGTGACAGGACAGCACTCCAAATGCCTTACCAAATGAATAGTGAGTATTTTTCTTCAATTTCTTTTTCACATTTTCGGTTTTGTTTCGCCACAAATTGGCTTTGGTAGGTACAGTTGTAGTCCCCGTTCTTGGTGGATCAAAGTAAGACTACCAGTATCCCGTTACATATCTCCAACTCCCTCATACATAGACATGCAATCTACCGCTGTGTGTGGACGCTTGTTCGGTAAGCTCAAAGACATACGTTTTTTATTTGTGTGCCTCCGTCTCGAAAACTTTGTCGTTACGTATGAGTGCCCTTCAATCATATTTGTCAGAGTAACAACCTACTTGACATCGGCGTGCAATTCGAGTTGTCTTGTTATCCATCTTCAATATAAATTTTTACAATGCCGGGAAATATGATCAATGGAGAAGGCCGACAGCTCGTGCTAAATTTATTAGAGTATTTCCAGGAAGAGAATGAAAACAGCGGATCCCTGTTACTCCACTTCATGCGTACTGGAGAGAGTAGCAGATGCACTGCAATCATGGATGTGAGCGCTGCCGGAATAAAAAATATGATTCATTAGACGTACTTTGAATTTTGAAGCTGTTTGCAGTTTTATTATTATGCATGCATCTTGAGGGCTGCTACAAAAAAGGTTCAATATCTCGGAAAACGTACCCATCTTGAGGTAAATAACGGCAAAATTGCTGCAATGACGGTGAGATCTGGTCGAAATGCTTAAAATTTCTATATTTATTGGACACAGTCGAGATTCTGATCAATACCACTGATTAACGAATTTAACATATTCTATCTAAAGACTAACCTAATGCTATACTCTCGCGTCCGAGAAAAAATGGGATACCGTAGTGTCATCTAAGAGAATCTTTCACAGCTGTTTCTCTATTTACTATACAGGGTGTTATTCAAGTTCGTGACCAAGCTTCAGTCGATGATTTTTTAGGTAATTTTAAGTTGAAAAGTTCATATAAATATAGGTCCAGAAATGGTTCCTTTCAAGATAAAGGGAGTCAAACTTTAAAAAAAAATAGGTTTTTCCTAAATATCTTGATACACTTTCAGTCGATTTTGTTTAGATTTAGCAGTGGTATTAAGGGCTGTAAGGCACTAATTTAGCCCCAAATAGATTGAAATTATTAAGTCCAGTGGCGTCCCGGAAAATACCCTAACCAACGTCATTGACAATTTTTTCAGTTTTTCATGTTCTCGTGGTATAATGCGATGAGGATAACTTTCTTGATAAATGCGCCTAGCCGCTCTAGAATTGCCTTGAGCCATTCCATAAACAAAATGCCATTTGTGTGTATATAAATTGAACCATTTTCCAATATTAGTAATTTTATAGCTCAAGACACGTACAAACACTTAATATAATTACGATCATTTCTTACCCCCTGTTTTAAGTAAGTTATGTCACAGTCGGCTTTGTTTGACTGGCAGTTGTTTTTCCTTTCATGGTCCTCTTATTTTGTTACTTTTAAAACATTGCTGTTATAAATTATTACGCTATGCGTCTATTTTATGTTATTTTGTTTTATCGATATTAGTCATCAAATTTTTTTTCAAAATTCAAGAGACGACTTTCGCCTAATGACAGGGACATGCAATAAAGTGCGCAAACGAAGCGAGTTTGAAAGGAACTCAGGAGACAAGAAAAATGTTTTTTAGCTAATTAATTAAAAAAAAATTGAGAAATTGAAAAAAGTCAGTCGCGCACAAATTCTTTGTCAAAGATATTGCTCAGGATGTTTTTCGGGA